AGGTCACCTGCATTGTTTAAAGCAAAGACTGGAGATTTGGACTTCTAGACCTCAGAGAAAATGCTGTTGACTTGACCTGAGGTGTAAAAATTGGAGGTTACGTGTTGTGATTTGCAGTGGGGTTACCAGAGTCTAACATTTACTGAGGCTGGGATGCTCTGGGATGTACATTTCTCCATGCTAACGGCAACGAAGGCAACCGGAAGGCCACAGGACAGACACCCAATGAGCAGTGAATCCCACAGATTGTGGGAAAGTGATGCTTTGGAGAAGAATCTTTTAGGGCAGGAGATCAACTTGATTCCTATATGCTTTGACTGTTCAGTGATGACTGATTGTGTATTGTGTCCTGTGGGTGAGAAGATGCCTCGATGGGTCATCGGAGTGGGGGGAGCCTAATTCAAGCTGAGTTTTGAAGTGTCTGAACTGAGAGGCTCAGCACCAAATGCTGCAGTTTCCTGATGTCTGGTCTCAGTTCTTGTTCAGACTAGTTTTCTCAATTGCTTTGCAGTGGATTTTTCACTCGTAGCTTGCAAAAAGCTTGAAGGCTGCGTGAAATCATAGGATCGTTTGAGTTGAAAGGGACCCTTAAAGGTCATCTAGTCCAACTCCCTGCAATGAACAGGAGCACCTACAGCTCCGTCAGTTTACTCAGAGCTCCATCCAGCTTGACCTTGAATGTCCCCAGGAATTGGGCATCTACCATCTCTCTGGGCAACCCGTTCCATTCTTTGTTGCCCTTTTGTAGGAAAAACATCTTCCTTATATCCAATCTAAATCTCCTGTGTTAGTTTGAAACCATTTCTTCTCATCCTATCACAATAGACTCTGCTTAAGAGTGTAAAATGACACGTGGTGGTGCTTAGCTTTGAGAGGTCATTCACTAGCAGTTATTTTGGATCTCCCCTATATTCCACTTCAGTCAACTCAAATGGGAAAAGAGCTGCAGATTCCTTACATCCTGACATACCTAGGGGTGAAGCCAGTGTTGGAGGAGGCAGGAGCCAGATCCTTGGGAAAACAGTGGTATTTTTACTTTTCCACCTTTCAGGCCTCCACAGTACACTGACATCATTGATGCACATAAATTATCCAGATAGAGAGTTTCAAGAATATAGTTTGGGTTTTTTTTGCATCCTGTGTTCTGATAGCCTGCCTTTTTAGTATGTCAGTCCCTATTAATTAACCTTGTTTTGGAGGAAGTTCAGTTTTTAAGGAGTCACTCCAAGGGATGACCCTGGTGTGCTGGATTTGTGTGTGCATGGGGTACCTCTCCCTGCAGGGGCTTATTCCAAAGGAAGGAAAAAGAGGGAGGAGTGTACAGGAGATGAGAACTGTAGAATGGTGTGACAAAGCCAACGCAGGCAGTTATTCAAAGAGCCAATATTGATAGAGATGACAAGGCAGCATGTTTGAGATAATGATGGAGCTAAGACTGACAGCTGTGGGAAGAAGCAAATAAAAAGAGATTCTTTTTTATATTGGCTGCCTTTTTCTGCCTGTGAATTAGAAGTCTGGATGTGAATTAAGTACCAGGGGAATGGGAGCTGCGTGGGGGAAGCATCAGACCGGTTTGAACTACCAAATGAACAAGGGATCTGAAAGCAGGGGATTTTTTCTTCTCTCTTTCAATTGCATTTCATAATCCATTTCTTTTTGCTGCTGCTCGTTGTAGTGTCACCTTCAGTGGTTTTTGCTGCTTTTTCCCATTCCCTTGTTGACAGGCTGGCCGCGTGGCTCGTGGTCCTTAATTTGAGATGCACGTTTCTTTCAGATGTACAGAAATGAGGGAATGGCACTGTATGTTGCTTGTTTAGTGTTGTTGATGCAGGCTAGTCGGCATGCTGCTGTTAACAGTATGGCTGGAGACTTTGTTTGAAGTGTTAATTAGCAGCAATTAGTAAGATATTAGTTTTTGCCTTCTTATGTCAGCTTTCTTTGCTAGTTAGTTGTATCAACAGGAGACTCAGCTATCTGGAAGCTTATGTTTGCATAGGAGTTTTGTCAACTTGTTGCCTTGTATTGGGAAGATACATAAATGCTTTCATACCATAAATTGTGAAGTAGATATTCCCGATATAAGAAGACATGTAGCTCAAAACAGAGTTGTCTATGGCTGAAATAGCAAACCTGGGATCATAGAATCACCAAAGTTGAAAAAGATCGATAAGATCATCCAGTCCAACCATCTACCTATCGCCAGTAGCTCTCACTAAATCATATCCCTCAACACAACATCTAGACATTCCCTGAACACCTCCAGGGTCGGTGACTCCACCACCACCCTGGGCAGCCCATTCCAGCTCCTGATCACTCTTTTGAAAAAGTAGTATTTCCTAACATCCAGCCTGAATCTCCCCTGGGACAACTTGAGGCCATTCCCTCTTGTCCAGTCGCTAGTTACACGAGAGAAGAGACCGGCCCCCAGCCCACTACAACCTGCAGGTTTCTCCCTTTCTGTCTAGGTGGACTTGAGCTCAGACCCAGATGTGGCTGTTGGGCAGATTCCTGCTGATTTTCCCATCTCTTTCCCATTTTTGACAGGCAGTTCCCAGTGTCAGGGGAATGGGCCATTCCTGTGGATCTGGTGGCAGATTTGGGATTTAGCTACATAAGAAATGGCATTGTTTGAATGGACATCTTCAGCTTTCTATCATTTTATGACTTTACTCAGTCAGCATCATGGGAACATTACAAGGTACCATCACTAAGATACCAAGTAGCTTATCTTTCCTCTCAGAATTTGTATTGCTGCCCCTGAGTTTTGTTTTAAATGGGAGATTGTTGTGCTTAAATTGATTTCTCTCTGTTCTTTAAAATTTTTTTCAGTAGACCCAGGTTACCATTCATTGCTGTTTGGTCCTAGACAGAAATAGAAACAGTTGAATCTACCCAAAACTTAGCTTCAGCTGACATGTCCACTTCTCTCACATTTAAGAAGCTTGACATAAAATCCTGATACTTAACCAATTTATTATTAATGATGTTTATTGAAGTATTCTCTACTGAAAGATGTGGGTTTTTTTGACTCAGTAGACTGATTGCTTCTAGTTTCATAGTTAATTGAAAGTTAGTACACGCTGAGGATGAGTGATACATATGTTATTAGGTTAGCTGCACTTTAAGTACTCACAGTATATAATATACTTAATTCATTAGCGAGTCTCACGTCAACAAAGAATAAAGATGAAGTGGTGTAGTGTCCATTGCAGTGAGGAAGTGATTAGTATTATTTATTGTGTGTTCCAAGAATGCTGAGCACTTTGCAAATATACTGCACTGAATCAATTTACAATCATCTCCTCTTTGGAGAAGAAAAAAAAAAAAAAAGAGTATATATTGACTTTATTAGAAGGTACTTTGGGAGTGAGGAACACAAACTACTGATGGAGATCTAACTTTGCTCAAACCATCTTCTACTGAGTGCTGTACCACCTTCCAGGGTCATTTGCTTCTACCAGTGATGCTTTTTGAAGCATGCATGGTTTTAGCATAGCTTAATTGCCACCACAACAGTGCTGTTGTAATTGCTTCAGCATACAGTCCTATCATGACTCAGTGAATGGAAATTACCCTTACGTTTTATATGTTCCTCGTCTTTTTCAGTTCCTTCTGTACCTTCTCATGTGTCTGTTTTTCCCTCACGTTTTTTGTTGGAACAACCTTAAAAACTGAGGATAAAAAATCTGTGACAAAGCCCTCTCCCTCTTTCTATTTTATGACCACCGTATTTGGTCTTCCTGGATATCTTCCTGAGTAGTAAAAGTTGAAAAAATCCCGTAATATTTTTACACTCTTATTACCTCCTGCTTTGCATGGACTCTGGCAGTAAGCTTATTTCCTACTTTTAATCACGCTTCTTGCAGAGCATTTGATGTTGGTGCTGCCAGCAGAGTCCTCTCTGTCATCTGAGTCTTGGAGGCATCCACTAATAAGCAGGACCAGTCCTGTGAATCCAAAGTTCTGGACACACGCCTTCCTCACCATCTGTCTTCACTGCAGCATCTCTTGTATGACTAGCTGGTTCCCTCTGTGCCCATAACCTCAGCTCTTAGTTTCTCTTTTCCAGTCCTCCCTTGACACCTCATAATTCATCGTCATTGTGAGTTTTATGAAAAGTTCACTTTTTTTTTAAATCTGCTTTTAAATGTGTATCTCTGGGTATTGCTTGTCTGATGGTTTACAAAGGCTAGAAATATAGTTAATCTTGTGTCTGATTCAAGATCTAGTTGGTCTTGTATTCCCTTTCTCACACTTTTTTTTTGTGGTATTATTATGCTGTTTTTGAAACATTTTTAAAACAGAAGAGTTTCCTCTGCCATCACAGCCCAATCTACACCTGACTTAGTATTTTCTACTCTAGATGGCACTAAATGGCGCAGTTCCCTTAAATTTGCCTTCAAAAAGCAGTTGCAGCACTATTTTATTTCAGTATCTACATTATAAATGCTTAACTTCATTTTCTAGAGGTTCTTCCAGTCTCTCCCAAATATTCTCCTTTAGAAACCTGGAAAATATTTCTGAAATGAGGTATTTCGATTGCTGACACTGTGTGAGTTATGTTGGAAGTCGAAGGCTGGACTTGGAAGGTGACTGAGTTGGCCTTTCTTGGATGCATTTTTTTGTCAAGGATTGTGAATGTTTACCAGCTTGTCCTCATCTCCCAGCTGGTAACACAGGGCTCTGGTCTGAACTTTGGGATGTGAATCCTTTGTGTTGAATATTGTGGATGTTATTACCACATTGTCATCTCTCTGTTGTTACTATCGTGATATAATGTAGTATGAAATAATATTGATATAATATGTGCTATCTTATGATACTGTTGCCACTTAGAGGTGATATCCTCTGGTGTGGTCTTTCTTCCAACAGTGGCTTCACTTTGGAAGAGAAAGCAAGATTGAAGAGCTGTGATCAAATACTATAATGTGAAAGCTACTAAAAGTGGCTGAGTGTTGGTGTGAGTACAGCAAATCACTCATTGTTTCTTTTTCATTTAGTTTGTGCCCTAGGAACTCTCTGCTGCAGGATGAATTAGGAAAGGAAGGACTCTTTCTCTGAACCATGGACACAAGAGCATCTTTCATCACTACCATGCAGGAGAGCCAGCATCTATCCCCAGAGAAGGGGCAGGGCCTGACCAATGGTGATGGGGAGCAATTTGATTCAGGTGAGCTCTCCTTTGCTCTTCTAGGTTTCCTACATGGTCACAGCCTTCCAGACAACTGCTTTAGGGAAGGTGGCAGCTGTTTACTGGGTGGCATTAGAGTTGGATGCCTTGATGGCCATTTTTTTGAGTCTTGTGGATTGGGGAAGGGTGTGTGTTCCATATTGTGGAGCGCCCAGGTGGATCCATGATTGATGAGTTGGGGAAATTTTGACTTTTCTTTGGAGCTTTTCTAAGGTATGTAGTAGCTACTTTAAATGAAAAGCAGTGGGAAACCTTTCCTAGGACATCATATTGTGTTCTTCCTGTCCACCCACACACTCTTTATTTTATTTTATTCTCTTTTGATTAAAGAAAGGAAATGAATGTTCAGAAATTACGGTATTTCTCCTCTGTTTTGACCTTTATCTTTGTCCCTTCAGATTATTATTTTTTTTATTACTTCAGATGAGAGGGCATCACAAATGTTATCCCAGCCAGCAGAGAGCTAGTTGCATGTTGTCCTTGTGCACATGAGTATGACTGCACGTCTGCAGTGTTCTGTGATGGGCACTGAACAATAAGGATTTGCTGGGTAAAATTGGCTCAGTAACTTCACCCTTATTCTGTGTTTATGCAGGAAAGCTCAGATGAGGAATTTGTGAAGCATAAAGCTGAGCCCCCTGTCAGTTACTCTGTACAAAATGTTTCATTTTTGCGTCGAGGTAATGATGTTGTTGCTAATGTGCTTTAATGCTTTTCCAGAAATCTTGTGCATTTCTGTAACAGCAGTTCTTCATCAAAGGATCCTGAGGTGTAATGGCAAATGAAAGTCTACTCTTGCATGTAAGCATTCTAAAGGGTTGCCTGAAGTCTGCTTCTATAGAAGTAGGCCCTCTCACCAGGGGTGAATCACTGATCCAACTCTGAAAATGCAGTGGTAACAGTGTTGGGGTGAATGCTTGAAAACAGCTTGCTTTGGCTTCGGTGTCCTTTGCTTTGGCTTCGATGTCCTTTGCATCTGTTCTCTCAGATGGTGCTGTGTTGTGCTGGAAGGTGTCCCTGCCTGTGTCAGGTGGATGAACTAGATGGTCTTTAAGGTGCCTTTCAACCCAAACAATTCTATGATTCCATGTTATGTTAAAGTCATTTGCAAAGCTTTGTCTTTGGTCCACTTCTCGTTGTTTCCCACGGAGCACCCCTGAAATTGTGTGTATTAAGAAACCTTGATTCATCCCACCTAGAGGAAGTGGGATGCTCTCTTAGTTAAAAACATAATAGTTATCCTGGGTTCTGCTGTAGATATGAAAAAGCTTCTTTTTCATAGGGTTAACATAGGGAGTGAGGATCATCTGGAGTTAACCAGTCGAATATGGAACTGTGGTGATTTAAGACACTTGGAAGAAAAAGTCATCATAGAATATCCCAAGTTGAAAGAAACTCACATGGATCATAGAGTCCAACTCCTGACTCCAAGTTCTGTATCTGAAAATGTTGTACAAATGCTTCTAGAACTCTGGCAGCTTGTGGCCATGCCCTCTGCCCTGGGGAGCTTGTTTGTTCCAGGGCTCAACCACCCTGTCAATGAAGAACCTTTCCCAAACACCCAACCTGACCCTCCCATCACACAGTTCCGTGCTGCTATCACCATTAAAGAGCCTTGTAGTTCTAGAAAACAAGTCATCCCATTTTAACTTCAGCACTGGGTTGTCTTTGAGTTGAGAAATCATCCTTATCTTGAGATGGCATTTCCAGAGTGGGCAGCCTTATCTAGTCACTGCTGGATCCATTTGTATCTATGAGAGAGGTGTAGGAGCCTCTAGGATGAGGTGCAGGTGATCAGTTGTAGGCATTGGGTTTGAAACAACAGAAACTGGCTTGTGGACCCTAAATGTCTGTGAGAATGTGTCTTGGTGACTCTCCCAAGGCTGTTCTGGAGGCTTGTTGTTGATCAGAAATTCCCCCTTACCCCAAGCCTTCACCTGTGTGTTAATCCTAAATCATTTTGCCTTTCAGTTCTTTGTGAGTGAACAAAGTCATGAATATATTTATATGCCTGTAAATAAGATAGCTTAGCAATTTCCACAAATACTGTAATTTCCAAAGATGTTCTCCTTCAGGTAAGCCTGGGAAAAATCTAAGCTTCTGTAGCCACAGGTTTTGGGTCTTTTATCTCATCCTGCGAGGCTGATAACAGCTGGAATAGTTGCATTTTTATAGTGTCAATGCATGAAGGACTGCAGAGCACTTTAAAGCCATTCAGGGGCTCAGAGATAATGACTTGTTGATTTTATTTGCCATCCTAGGCTTGTTTATACATCACCGTATTGTAGGCTAGCCAGCCTTGACTCTTTCATTAAAAAAGAGCACTGAGCCTAAGCACCAATAATTGGAAAGGGAGCTGATATGTAAAGCAGGCCTAATGCCAAATTTGTCATCTCACAGGGAGCTCTGCAAAACGTTGGCACCTGGGGCTCTGTGTTTCTCCAGCAGAGCCAGGACTTTATTGTAGGAGTGTGTGGCTTGAGGACTGACAAACAGGTTGCCTTTGGGATCATGGCTTCCTGAGTTGTCTTTGTATGTTCAGAGAGACTTTGCCTTTTCACTGGGGACCTACAGATACTCAAGGAAGGCTGGCAAAGGGTATCCTGTGTTCCTCATCAATAGGGGTTTTGCAGTGGGCAAGAAGATTTGTGTGCAGTCCAACTACTGTACTTGTGGGTGTAAGTAGGAATGTACCCCCTGACCCTGGGTCACCCTGCATCTGCTCACAATGTCCCCTTGCCAGGTTTTCTAGAAGGGAACAGAATCCATTTAAAAACAGATTTGGAAGCTTACATTCGCTTCACAATCTTTGGTGATAAAATGAAGCAAAATAAAACACTGATGCCATGATAAATGAGTACTCCAACATTATTTTTACAGACCTTGTAAAAGTAATTTCCTGATAAAGTCTGCAGATAAAACACTGTAGAGGAGTCAGACTGCTGATGTGTCAGAGAGAAATGAATTGACTGGGAGGGAAAGCTGTAGCTCACGTTGCTGTGGAAAGAATACTTGTAAGCCTTCCCCCTGGCATCCTGGACCTCCCTATTTGGCTTTAGAAAGAAGAGATCAGGGTCGTTATTAAAACAAGTTCTTTTGGGAGTTTTGTTGGACTGCATGTGAATGAATCTGTTGGCAAGGCTGTGGGAACAGTGTGACTGGTGGCTGTGGGTTGGCACATAGCAGAGTAGGTCGTGGGCAATAATACATCAGGAAGGACAGGAGGACTTGCTGCATCTGTAACTAGCATCTTTAATGCTAACGTAATTAACTTAGTTCTGCCAAATCCTGTCCCTCTGGAGATGCTTCTCTTTGCATGGATGGTATGTATCGAACTGCTTAAAAGTCCTTCTACCACTCCGTGGAAATTAGGTTGTCTGGAGAGATGGTGGATTCCCCATCCCTGGACTCATTCAAGGTCAGGCTGGATGGGGCTCTGAGCACCCTGATCTAGCTGTAGGTGTCCCTGTTCGTTGCAGAGGGGTTGGACCAGATGGCTTTTAGTGTCCCTTCCAACTCAAATGATTCTGTGATATTACTCCTTCCCTTAAGAATGCTGAGGAAGGATGAAGAGAAGGAGAAACGTGCAGGACTAACCATGAAAGTTGGAACAAGAAGGAGGAATGACAACTGAGAACATACAGAGAGCACTGAGAGAAGTGTCTCATGCTTTGAAACAGAAATAGCTGGGCAGAGGGGAAAGACCTGGGGGTACGTTCAGGTGGAGATGACCTTGGGGTTGTTGAGTAGCCCACCCCAGCACCAGAAACACAAACAGATGATAGAATGGGAAACAACCAGGCAGAGGGGGTGTGCTTTTAGCTTTTTGCCTCTTGCTTTTCACATCAGAAGTTACTGGCTTATAGTAGGATTGTGATTGCTGGTGCCTGGGTTAGAAAGTTGCTTAAACATAGGAATAATTGGAGGCCTCTGATGGATAGCCATATCTGCCCATATGCTCATGAACTTGCATACATTTTAAAAAAATTATTAACCCTTGAATTCTCTGAACCTGACTCCTCTAAAAATCAACTCCATAGGGTTGCTGATTTTGAGGCTGAAGTTTTCCCTGATCATCAGAGTTGCGTACTTGCATGGTATAGCAAAATCTTAGCAGTTTGTGCACAAAGTTCTTACTTTGGGCTAAGCTGTTCTTGTCTTTCAGCCAAGAATGAGCAAACTCCTCATTTTGTGCCTGGAGTTCTTTTTGGTAGCCAAGAGGCAGCTGTCTTCAAGCCACCTTGCCACCTTACATGGGAGCAGGAGTTGATTTAAATCTCCATATTTAAGCAGGTTAATTGAGTTGGTGGTAAGGAGCCAGACCTTAGGCTTGATGCAGCGGTTTGCAGTGTTTAATGGTGATGACAGCTCAGTGCTGCTCTTTGAACTCACAGACAAATCTTTACCCTCTTCCAACTCTGTCTCAAAAACCCTCCTCTGAGACATTTTTTTTTTTCCCCCTTCGCATACATATGTCTGTAAATAAAGCCTATTTCTTTCCCTTTTAATGATGAGAGATTCCCATTACACAGTATAATTTTCTAGTCTTGAAAACTGGAGAACTGTAGCAACAATTTCAATAAATTAACCCCAACATTTTCTTCATAAAACTATCTGGGGAGGTTCCTTAATTCAGTTTGTCATGAGTCACTTTAATTACATCATGACCACGTTGATAAATGTGTGTGCAGGTAAGGGTCTCTTGTAGTTTTCCTTGATAAATGCTTATTGCAAACAGCTCATTGCTAGACTGTAAATATTTTTGCTCTGGGGATGTAACTGAGTTTGCGAGATTGCCTGGGAACAAAATGAAAACAATCAGATGTGGCTCATTTTCTGTAAGTGAAAGACAGTTTGTTCTTAATTATTGCTCTGTGTGTTTCAGCGATGGTTTCAGGCCTCAACTCTGCTCTGCTCAATGGGGATATATTTAAAAAAAAAAAAAAAAAAAAAGAGTAATGTCAACTCCTTCCCTATGGGGAAAGAAGGATTGTGAGGGGACACTGGTGTGGGTAGGGAAGGCATGGTGCAGAGCCCCAAGTCATGAAATGGGACAAGGATAAATGCAGGCAACAAGAATGCAACAGTGGCCGGGGGATTTGGGGGGGATTTGGAAAAGCAGCTTCGGTGCTGGTGGAAGAATCCCATTGGGGGTTCTTGGCTGTTGGAGGGCAGAGGAAGGCTGAGCAGGGAGAAATAGAATGGCAGATCTGAAACTGTGTCTCCTCAGCCCCAAGGGCTGGGTTGCTTATTTTTCATGCTGCTCAGCCAACAAGAACAACATCCATTGTTATCACCAGTACTATTGCAATTAGCAGTCTGGGGGAATCCAAGGCTGGGACATGGGCATGGCCACTGTATCCCTGTGATAGCGGGCTGACAACCAACTCTTATATCAATCCCTGTTGCAGTATGATGAGTTTGTTCCACTGTTGCAATGATTGCAGGGTCAATTTTGGTCTCACAGTGTTGGCTGCTAGAGTCCCAAAATCTGCTGAAAGTGTTTTAAGAGCCAGTCAAGCTGGCTAAGAACAGATCTCATGTTGATGTTTGTATCAGTTGCTACTTTTCTGCTGAACTGTTTGATACAACTTTTACCTTCTTTGGCTGTAATTTTGGGCTGTTTTCCTTTCTTTCTACTGCTTTTTTTTTTTCTTCTTGTTTTCCATTTGAACAGATGAGGGCTCCAGCATTGAGGATGCAGACTTCAACTGGGATGAGTTCCTAGAGGAAACAGGAGCCAGTGCTGCTCCCCACACCTCCTTCAAACATGTATGTGCATTGTCTGCCTTGCTAGTATTGTGTGTGTTCCCTCTTCTGGTGTTCCTGACCAACTGAAATGGAATTCACTCACTCTGTGGGGAATTTGGCCTTCTGTGACAGTGCATGTGAAAATAAGGTGGAGTACTTCCTATTATCTGTGCAGCTCCTGGCTCTCTTGCTGCTGCTGGGTGACATCAGCTCTGTGCACTCAGGGCGCAGTGTCTATGCCACTGGGTTCAAATATCATTTATGAGGTTTCATTCTGCTCTCCTTACATACTCATTTTTTTTTCTTCTTAATTTATTGATATCCTTTTCAACTTGTAGAGATTCATCTCACCAGAGTGTCTTATTTCCCTGAAGGTGTTCTCTCAGTGCATGATTTGCTGACTAGCAGGGTTGCTCAGCACTGGAGCCCAGCATGGTCCATAGAAATTCATCTCTTCAGCCCTCTTCCTGAAGATGCTGCCTCAGGAATGTGGGAACCAAACAGTGGGGTTGGTGATAACTTTCCTGGATGCATATGTTATATGCAGATGTTAAGGAGTCCTATATATGTCATGGTAGTTATGACATGGTGGCTCCAGCCCATGTTAGCAGTAGTGTACAGAGCCTCTGAAATTTTGGATGATGGAGAAGATTGGAGTATGCTTTGAAGAAGGATCCTGTGAAGGAGCAGAGCCTGTCAAGGATATCGTATGGACCTGTTTTTCCATCTGCAAACAGTTGTTTAATGTCTTCTATTTGGCCCATATGTGTGCTGTCCATAGTCTGCCTTTACATGAGGACTTGAGATGGAGCTCAAACTAGTGCACAGATTCTTCATCATCATCAAAAGCATGCACGTAGGGTGTAGTCAATATATTTTTCCAGGTCCTTGTTTTCAGTCAGCTGAAGGATAGTTCTTTCAGATGTTACAATGCCTTTACCTGTATCAAGCTATGCCTAGTCATGGTGGTTCTCTGTCCTCAACTGTGAGTAATGTGTAGATGGTTCTGTTCATCTTCTGCCCATCAGCTGCAGGTAGCAGCTACATCTGGGATTAGGACTCACCAGCTCCTTTTCTCTCAGCTTCATTCACATGACCTGAATGCTCTGGATGATGTGGATATCTCTCAGTCAGGAAGAAAGTGTTTCAGCTGTGATGCTCTCATTTGCCTTACACTGAGACTGGTTGCTGGCAGAAATCTTTGGGAACATGTAGTTGTGCTGCAGTGAAGGGAAATTTTCCTGAAGAATTTGTTGCTGCTTTGAGATAAGTCTCCATTTGGATAGCTGCCTTCATGCCATTAAACCACCTTTGCCTCCAGGTGGTTTCTGGGTTTGTTTTGAGGAGATAAAGAGCAGTAGTGATAAAAAAAAAAAAACCTGTCTCTACAACTGGAAAAAAAAAAAAAAAATAATACCAGCCTCTGTTACCTATTCTACACATGTAGATAGAGTATTGCAAGATGAAGGATCCTAATTTTTTGTACTGGAGAACTACAGTACAATGGTAAAGTTTTGTTGTAATTTATCCTTGGCCCAGTAGCTGTCTGGAAAGAACATCTTGTCCCAGGGTGTTTCTTGTCTCAAATAGAGGATCCTGTTGGGAGCTGTGTGCTTCACAAAATCCTTCCGTTCCCCCTCTTTGTGATTTTCAGTTACAAGTCTCTTGCCTCCAGTGTTCCACTTTGGTCTTTATTTATGGTGAGAGCAAGAACGAAAGCTACAAATGACCATATATCCTGGATTATTCATGAGGACCCTTAGCATCACAAAAGCCAAGATCCTATTTTAGGACTAAGCTAGTAAACATTGTAGTTTTTGCTCCATCTTAGATGATCTCCAGAGGTCTCTTCCAATCTCTGCTAGTCACAATCCCAGCACTGATGCTGATGGAAGTGCCTGCACATCTCAAAGTATGTGGAGTGTTGTAATCTGCAAATAATATATGGCTTTGGCTGGACACCACTCATGTTGTAAGCTGGAGTGGGGTAAGGGAGAAGTGGACAAACCAGAGGACCTCTGTTTCTTCCCTGCAACTTGGCATCCAGAAGTTGGCCACGTAGACCATGATATATCACAGCGAGCAGAGGAGGCATTTTGTTGCCTCCCTGTGAGAACTAAATCAGAGACAGGCTTAACCCAGATTTCAAAATCTCTCTGGTTTCAGGAGGACACAGAGTACTTGGAAAGATTTAAGAATCTCTCCTTAAAATGACACAGGGAGTCATGGCTACATTTTGGATGGTCTTCTGAAGACAAAGCTGTATTCTGAACCAATGGGCTGGCATTCACCTCTTGTGTATCAACCTAGAGGCATCCCTCTGGCCCTTGGGAGATGTGTTGTGATGTGTCTGCAACAGTCCCTGCAGTGTCCTAGAAGAGTATGGCATCTCCAGTGTCCTTGAGCGAGTTACTTGTGACTTTCTGAGATAAAAATAAGTGACTTCTCCATCAGATCGCAGAACAGTGACCCAAGGCCTTTGTTTCTCTCTGCCGTGGATCCTACCATCTTTATGAGAATACCTGGGGAGTAAATTGGGTATGCCTTGAAATTCTGCTTGTGGATATGGTGGAAATACTCTCCTCTGTCTGCTTGGTACAGTATTCAGCCTTTGGTGCTTCACAAGCCTCGAGAGGTGTACAGGTGTTGTTGTATGACCGATTGTAATAGCTAGGCCCAACTCCCAGAGGTGCTCAGTGCCTGCCTGTTCTACCTTGCATGTATCCTGGGATTTGCCTGATGGAGCTGTGCTAAGGACAGTTACACCACTTTTCTCCTGGGCATTGTTGAGATTTATGATGCTCAGATGGCTACAGTCCCTCTCAGATTTAGTTCACCTGAGCTTATCACAGCTGATGGATCCCTTTGGAGTGTACACGGGACCTTATATGATGAGGATGTACTCGTGAAGTAGGAATGGTCCTGCCCAAACAGGTTGTGAACAAGGTGGTTGTATTAATAGCAGAATATTTTTGGTTGGAGGGGATGTTAACTGTCATCCAATTCCAACCCCTGCTGTGGGCTGGTTGCCACCCACCAGATAAGGCTGCACAGTGCCCCATCCAATCTGGTCTTGAATATCTCCAGGGATGGGGCATCTATAGCTTCTGTGGGGAACTTGATCCAGTGCCTTATCACACCCTAAGTAAAGAATTTCTTCCTAACATCTGAACTAAATCTCACTTCTTTTAGTTTAAGACTGTGCCTCCTTGTGTTATTGCTATTAAGGAGCATGATCAACTAACATCTTATTCCTGATCATCTCTTTAATGGCAGCTTTAGCTTGCTTAGTTAAATAGGGAGTCTCCCTGTAAAGAAGGAAAAGTAACACTATGCCTTTCTCATTCTGTAAGGTTGAAATCAGCCTCCAAAGCAGTTTTCAGCCAGGGATGAAATTGGAAGTGGCCAACAAGAGTAATCCAGACACGTATTGGGTGGCTACAATCATCACAACCTGCGGACAACTCTTACTGCTTCGTTACTGTGGCTATGGGGATGACCGGAGGGCAGATTTTTGGTGTGATGTAATGACAGCAGACCTCCACCCTGTTGGCTGGTGTACGCAGAACAACAAGGTCCTGATGCCTCCAGATGGTAAGTTGCATGTGTTTTGCTGGAGTCATGCCCTAGTCTTGGGCTGACAGTTAACCTCCAGGCTTTCAGTTGGTATGGAATGAATACTCCAGATGCTCAGATGATGGTGAGTGGTGCAATTTCACTGAAGTTGTTGTAAAACAGCTTAAGAGTCAGGTCTCTGTAGATCAATGGGTTATTCAATTTGCCAGTCAGTCTCCAGGAAAGGCATTTTGACCTAGGTGGTAAGAACAAAAGCTTACAGATAAGGCTGTCTTAAGGAAATGTATTGCTGAATTGCCAACCCATAACTTCCCGTGAGGGGAAGCAAGTTGTCTCATACTTTTAGAAAGAAAGGACTGAATTTAGAGTGATAATAAAGTAAAATAAAAAAGATCTGATTTTGATAACACTCAAATTAACTTGGCTGTGCATTCAGATGTTTTGCTCTCAAAGTTTAACGCTTTCCACTGTCAGATTTATGCAGCTTTTAATTCCAAAAGTAGACCCACATGAATAAATGTGGCAAAATCTGATCACTACAGGTTAGGGTATGTCCCATTCCTCAGCTCTTGGGTGTGCCAAAGCTGAATGCGAGAACTGTAGATTTATGGCACTTGGAATAGCTTTTTAATAATATGTTTGTTCCTCATTTGATTCTAAGTGTGTAAGGAAAATGCTTGATTTTTGTTGGTTTTTTTTTTTTGGTGTTCTTTTTTTCTGTCATTATACAGGAACAGAACAGCTGTGCATCCTTACCTCTATGTAGCTCCAGGCAGAGGCATACTTGTCATGTGTATTCCCTCTATATATTCAGTTTCTTTTGGGTCATGGCAAGAAGAGATGAATGGTTGGCCTCCAGCACATGGATGTGTTTGAGAAAAGTCTCATTTAACAACTCTGCTTCTGAAGTTATTCTTTCTGTTCACGTGGCTGCTGAAGAAGCAGATGTGCTGTTTGTGTGTCATGCGTGACTCCTGGTGTAGATGTTGCCTTGCTACCCACTAAACTGGATCATAGATACAGTCTTTAAAACACTGGAAATGGTCTCATTCTTGCCTTGTCTATGCTGAACATTGAGTTAAATGGTTATGTTTTTGTTCTGGTCTGACTGTCTTTAGAATAACGGACGATTGATTGCTTAAAAAAGTCTTAAAGACAAATATGGCTGAGAAATCTGTTGGCTTAGGAATAATACATCAAGCTGATGTGAGAAGGGTTATTTTTTTTCTTATTTTATTGGTCTCTTAAACTATCTTTTATTATGTGGATTATAATCAATGTTACTGGAAAAGGTGTACAGTGCTATAAACTAAATCTCAAAATGCCAGGTTCAAGGGGTGAAAGATTTCGTTGACTGGTGTAATGGAAAGTAATGATTGTTTTATAGCTGGAGGCAACTGCTTTTCATGAAAATGTTGCTGGAATCTGCTCTTTGGTTTGTGGTTACTTCACATAAGCTGTCTTGCTTGAGTGAATGCAAATGTGCAGCGTGTTTTTTCTTCTCTGTCCAGGTGATATAGTTGTATTCCAGACTCTTATGCCTGGGCAGCTGCTTTATTGGACATGTGGTTGTTTTTTGTTTGGTTGTTTCTTTATTTCCTTTCTCTATTGTAAAACTTAAGCATTTAAAAGGTTGAGTTGTATTTTGGAATGGGACATCTGAAATGCCTGGGAGCATTTGAGCCTTTGGAACCTCTCTTGGTTTGAAAAAAAGAGAGGTCCTAAATGCATTCGTAAACCACAGAACTCCTCTGGATGTTGGTCTGAGGCGTTCAGCCCATGATCAGGGTGGGATTCTAAGAGATGGTTGCTCCCATGAGGACACTACAAGGAAGAGGTTGGGTTTTCAGGTGTGCTGTAGGAAGAACTTGGCTCTGATGAGCTTCTGAAAGCAGTGAGTACTGCCCTCATTGTATGCAAATATCTGAAGTTCACCCTGTGTTTAATTGTTTTCTCAGTTGGTGAAGAGGTCTTGATGAGCTGAACTTCACAGCAGTCCTAAGAGTTTCATCTGGTGAAACCTGCAGGATCAAACCTTGTATTGGTACATAGCAAACTGTTCTCTGTGAACTCCAAGGAGACTTTTTGCCGTTTTAGCTTTGCACACTATTTTGTTGTCAAGTGCTTTGTGGAAAGGAGAGCCAGCTCCAAGTTGCATGAATTCATTTTCTAAGGGCCCAATTCTGCACGTATTGATCACAATGAGGATATCTGCTGGCAAGATCTGTTGGCAAACAGCATGGCCAGTTATCTGTCATTAAGATTTGTTCCTTGTCAGGAACTGAGGGCTCTGGTTTAACAAGCAGATCTGCTAAGGACTGGCTCAGTGGGCAGAATATTAGCACTGGGACAATGCTTTGTTTCTGCTTAGTAATCAAACAGGACTGATTGGCTCTACTCTTGTAAATGTGATCACAGACAACACTGTACAGAGTGATAGGATGAAGAATTTCATTAAATGAAAGAGATTAAAAACGGGGCTGGCTCAGTTTACCAAATCAATAGAGCTTGATTTAATGTTCAGCACATACAGAGATTTTAAGGGGCAGCTGCCAAATAATTGTTGTTTATGATCCCAATAGAAGGAAGTCATTTAGTTTACAGGCTGTTACATTATTATTTACTGGGTGACGTTAGTTTTGCATCGTGGTGGCTGCAAGTATAATGTCAAATCTTGTTATGTCTTCCTCTGTCGTGGTGCAACGCACTGGACTGAGGTCCGAATGCTCCAGTTTGCAGTAAATTGTATTGACATATGAAAGGATGGTGTGAATGTACGTCTGCCCATAAGCTTTACCCTTCACCAACCTCTTCCCTTCAGGAAATCAGGGGAGTAAAATTGTAGTTACTTCAAGCTTTGCCATTAATTATATTTTTCTCATTACAAATCGGTGTGTAATTTGAATTGCAAACTCAAATATCCTGGCAGAATAGATCTGTTTACCATTCAAAGCAAAATGAAAATTATTTAAATTAGTTAATATAGAACTCATTTGAATGAATTGAATGTTTATTCATGAACTAGCTGAGGCAAGTGTGAAGCTGTCCGTATGGTCTGTAGCTTTGGCACTGATCAGCTCTAAAGGCATGTCCTGGGACAGAGATTTCTTTTTTATTGTTTATTAACTGTGGTGTAGACCAATGGATAGCTTCTGCCTGATTGAGCTGAGTATGAAATTTACATCCTTTCTGCCAGGGCCCCCCAGCAACTGTAAAATTCATATGGGGAAGTAGTTCATAAGGGGAGGTGCTTCAGAGTTTACTGACAGTGGCTGGGATGGAGCAGCAAAATGGTGTTTGGCTTTTGTGCTGTAGTTGTGGGATCTAACATAGGGCTTCCATTCTTTGGTTAAAACTGTCCTATTATATTGCCCCGCATGAAAGCCTTCATCACCTCATACACCTCACCAAATGCCATCCTCCTCAGCACAGAGCTGTGGTGGTTGTTCTTCAGCATCTTTCATCCTGTAAGATCTCTTACTCATAAAGCATTAAAAATTTAAGTCTAACTTAACTTTGTCATAGTAGTGATTCCCTTAACTGCGAAAGGAAAATAGGTCTCTCGCCTCCTTTAGCCTGTTTTTTCCATGTGCTGTTTTCCTCTGTTGATGACAGTTGGGTTCACGAACACATTTACCATCATGTAGAGGAGCAGCGTGGAGAACCTGACAAAGATAGTAGCTAAATTATGCATTGTGAAACACGCGCAGGGCAGGCACGTCTTTTGATTGACACTTGGGTGGTTTCGTACAGATTGCAGGTTTACAGCTGAGCCAACAGAGCTGAATCTCTCCTGGCACTATCTTAAGGCATTCTGTGATGCACTAAAGATGCTGGACAACAAGATGGTTGTGTACACCTGCGATTGTGGCAGTGCTTTTGCTTCAGTGTTATTGACAGATGGAAATTCAAATAAAACATTTCTGAGCGTGGATCCATGTGGTGATCTCGAGTCTGCTCACAGTGTAAACCAGGAGGCGGAAGAGACTGGAGATGTAAAGGAATACAGGAACTCAGTGGGGAAAGAACCAGGTCTGTGCTCTGGTTTCACCGTGAGCCAGTACAGATGGGAAACCTCAGAACACTGTTTCACCATGGATTTGGTGATCACGGTGATCGTTACACTGTGAGTACGTGTAGGAAAGCAGCCTTTGTAGAATCATTAAGGTTGGAAAAGACTGCTAAGATCACCCAGTTCAACCATCAACCCACCCCCACCACGCTCACTAACCTTGTCCCTCAGTGACACATCTCCATGTTTCTTAAAAACCTCCATGGCTGGTGACTCCACCACCTCCCTGGGCAGCCTGTGCCAATACCACTCCTTCTGAGAATAAATTTTTCCTCATATCCAATGTGAACCTCCTCTCTTGTAACTTAAGGCCTTTCCTTTTGTCCTATCACTGTTAACCTGGGAGAAGAGGCTGGTCCCCACCTCACCCCAACCTCCTTTCAGGCAGTTAAGATAGCCTTAACTCCTCCACTGTACCAGTGTAACCAGAATTAAAACTCAGAAGCCTGGTCCTAGGATGTAATGAATCCCTCTTGCAAGGTGCTGGGCCAGGTAAAATATGCCATTAAGAGTGCTGAGTATAAAGCATTTTGCCCATCCAGGCTTTCTGTGAAGGCAGCCATCACCACATGGTTCACTCAGATTCTGAAGTTGTGGGTAGAGTGTAGGTGAAAAAAATAGATAAAACTTGTGCCATGGTAAACTAGGCTGCCCTTCAAATCATAGAATGTCTTGGGTTGGAAGGGACCTTAAAGATCATCCTATTCTAACTCCCCCACTGTTGGCAGAGTTAATGACAGTTGTATTCCCATCTAGGTTGGCATTTCTCACTCTGGCATGTAGTCTATGATTTCGTTAGAGCTCAGGTGGTGGATATAAATGTTAGAACAGAGACCTGGTCTGGGCTACAGTGGAAAAGAATGGAATTGAAGCAATATATGATGCAGGGTGTGGGAAGAAGAATAGCAAGGGGGAATGGTGGGGCAAGAAGAGAAGAGCAAGCTCT